AAAAGGGGGGGGGGGGGGGGGGGGGGGGGGGGGAANGGCGGGGGGGGGGGGGGGGGGGGGGGGGGGGGGGTGCGGCTGTAAGAGAAGTCGGAAATGTGAGCTGTCGGTAGTCTCATCGTGCAGGGCAGAAACACGGGTAGGCGCAATCCTTCCCGTCGATTCCACACACCCTCTATCCCTGTTTTTTACGGTCAATGATCAATGTGGTATTTGTCGTGCCTTGAGTTCATACAAGACATGTTCAAGGAATGGGCTGCATTTCCTGAGATGGCAGCTCGGCTCCGAGGTTTTGGCGTACGGAAGTGGAGCACACATCCGCTTTGTGCGTGTAAGTCGTCTGGAGTGATGTCGTCGAAGTGGCGGGCACAGGGCGCATCAGGGCTGCTGCTTGGACTGGACATAAGGCAGGCCAGGGGGTGCCGTGGGGAGCACCACAGCGGGTATTGGACTAGAACTCGCCGGGGATGAAAGGGTTTCTGTCGATGGTGGCGGCGACGGATATGCAAGAAGCTACGGCAGGCCGTTCTTTTCCTCGTTTTCGCAGCACCTGTCAACGTCGGTCGAAAAGGGACCTCCCGGTTTGTCATCACCTCTGGCAATGAGCGACAATTCTTGGGCGTGCTTGCATTTGACAGGGTGACACGGCAGCAGAGACCGTTGCAGCTGAGAGCAGAGCATGCATGCTGCACGCAATGTCCAAAAGAGTGTCTCAGAGGGCGCTGCAGCGGGCCGGTGATGGCCCCCGCGGACCCGAAAGTCCGCGCATCCTTGGCGCCCTTGGCCGTGCCCTCCCGGTCTGGCACCCGACGTTGCGGACTTTTGGTGGGGTTCAGACGGGGTTGTGAGAGCCAGATTTGGCGCTAAATCCTGCCGAAGACCTTGCGATCCCCCGACTTTTTGGGAGTTTGGCGTTCCCTTTGCACTCGGCCGTTATGGTCCGGCGTTATGCTGCTGCGCCGCACCATCACGGCGCCGGGGCGCCGCGTGTGTTGGTCTGTTGGTCTGTTGGTCGTTGGTTCACGGTAGACGCGGACGTCCCGGGTATTCGGGATGGCAGCTACCTAGGATGCGATGAACGTGATCGTCGTCTCTGCGATTCAGTCTGAACGCCAGTTGACGTTTGTGACGTTCGGGCGATGACACGGGGTTTGGGTTGAGTGTTTGGTGGTGTGGTGGAAGCCCTCCCTCCCTCCCTCCTGTCTGCCAACTTGCGCACAGGCTCGGCAGCAGTTTCTCTCATTCGCTTCGATGGGCATTGCTGATCAAAGTACAGACGTATCCTTTGTGGTTATTGTCCGCCAAAGCCTCAAGGTACCTCTTTTTCAGAGGTCATCCGAAGTCGAGAGTTTTCGATGCTCGCCCTCTCCCGCGTTACCTCCGCACCATCTCCGCGTTAGGTTTCCCGCGGCCGGCGCGGCGAGGCGAGGTGTGTCGCGTGGATCGAACAGCCCTTTCGACAAAACATGCAAATCTCGGGACATGACGCGGAAGGAGGTGATGTGGCGGCAGGGACCGTATTCGGGAGATTTCTACCGAAAGGGAGGCATCATGTGGGCTATGCTACGCGGATCACGACCACCATTCCAGATGACGCCGTTGCAAACCCAAGAGTTGGCATCGACGATTGCCTGCTTTCCATTTGCGCTCAGCCGGCAGCCTTCCAATACACTCATGCTGGCGATGACGAAAGGGGGCAAGGGGCCGGTTCACTTGCCTCTTGAGACTTTCCCCTTCGATCGACGTCTTGTTACGGGTTGGGCCGCTTCATTGAAGCACGCATCTCCGGCATTCAGTCTCCTTTAGACGTCTGGGTAGGAATTGCTTCCCATAAAGATGCAAGGCCACGTCAAAATATTGCTGCAAAATTAACAGCCAGACAAGATCACCGTCAAGCGAATTGGAGTCCAGAAACAGAGCTAGACCGGTGATCGCCAATCTTGCATCGGCACTGGTAGGCCGTTTGCCTGCAAGTAAGCCAATGCTGCACACCCGCAGGAGTATAATGCTGATTGAAGCAATCGGAGTCAATCCAACTCGAACAGAATGGTATCATTATGGCGACTCGCATTCGTCCTTGGACATGCTCGCTGTGACTATGTTCCTGGCATCACATGTGTATCTATCCGCAAGCAACAACAGGCAAGACAGAACTAATTCAATAAAGAATGTAACCAACGTACACAAAACGAAAAGTCGGCTTGAGCCTCCGACTTTCTGCATCATTATTCCGACTGGTAAACCCCGACATTCTGGCTCAAAACGGCAAGGAAACTCAACGGAACCGGCAGGTCAAGCCGAGGGGTCCGAGATCGGGCCACGGGGACAGGGGTCCGACCGGCGCCCCGCAGCATGCAAATCCTCGGAGAGGGACCGGCTTACTTCGGTCCACCCGTTTACACATCCTCAGACCATATTCAACGACGCTCATTTTGCTTCTTGAAGCGCCCAAACCCTCTTCTTCAACTCACTCCTCCAGTCCCAAGGTGAAAGTTCTCTAGAAACTCACTCGCACACCAGCGAACCTCCCCCACCAGAAATCGCAGACACCAACACCCCGCCCCCACCATGGCTTTCACAGTCCTGTCCGACGAGGACGTAAAACATCTCTTCCAGAACTTCGGCCCCGACGACGTCGCCCACATGTCAGACGTCCTCACGGACGCCTTCCTCTCCTACTCCGTTGGCCAGGAAGCGCAGTACCAGCCGCACCGCGCCGCCGTCGTCCGCCCGGACGGCACCACCGGCCTCTTCATGCCCGCGACCATGGAGGGCGGCATGTCCGTCAAGGTCGTCGGCCTCCCGCCGCCGCACGCCGCGGCCAGCGGCCTGCGCTGCGTGCTCACCGTGTGCGACGGCACCGGCCGCGCCGTCGGCGTCATCAACGCCGAGGAGCTGACCGCCTTCCGCACGTCGCTGGGCTCCATCCTGCTGTACCGCTACCGCCAGGCGACGGAGAAGATTGTGGTCTTTGGCGCGGGGAAGCAGGCGCTGTGGCACCTGCGTCTGGCGCTCGTGCTGCGCGGCGGGGATGTGAAGAGCGTCACGATCGTGAATCGGTCGGAGGGTCGCGCGCGCGAGCTGATTGAGCGGTTGCGGCAGATGGGTGCCGCGAGTGGTGTTGGGGACTGCGCGGGGGTGGAGTTCTCCGTCATCGAGGCCGCGCCGGGGACGACGCCTGCCGATGAGAGCGGGCTGCGGGCTGCTGTCGAGGAGAGCGATGTGATTTTCTGCACGACGCCCTCGACTGAGCGGCTGTTCCCCGCGGAGTGGCTGACGTCGGAGCGCGCGACGGCCAAGACGCGGTATATCGCCGCCATTGGGTCGTACAAGCTCAGCATGAAGGAGATCGACCCCGACTTCCTCCGGGCCGTCATCGACACGCCGCTGGGGGCGTATGCGCCGTCGCAGGGTGAGAAGAAGGATGGCGTGATCTTTGTGGACAGCCGGGAGGCGTGCTTCCTGGAGGCCGGCGAGCTTGTGGAGGCCAAGATCCCCGCGGAAAAGATTGTCGAGGTTGGCGAGTTCACGGACAGGCTGCGGAAAGCGGGCGACGATGAGGCGAAGGGGCTGAAGGAATGGCTTGCGAATGGGCTTGTTGTGTATAAGAGTGTTGGCATTGGAATCATGGACTTGTCGCTTGGAAAGGTTATTCTGGAGCTCGCTGGGAAGCACAAGGTCGGCACCACCTTGGCGAAGTTCTAGACGCGTAGCAGTTGGAATTAGTATGCCTCAGATGTAGAGAGCAAGTGAAATTGTTTGCGACAGTGCTTCCACAATCATCTTGTGTCATTAAGTGTTTGGTCCATGGCATAAAAACCGCTAGTATGAAGGTTACTGCTTGAGCAAAAAAGCAGCTGCCTGTTTGGGTCCCGGTTCGGGCCCGGAATAGCCCCGCTTTTCCGGCACCTTACCCCAGGTAAATCCTGCCGGCGCTTTATCCTACGCCAACTCCCTTGTCCGCCCCAACTGGCAGGTTCGGCGTAAGGTTATTTGGGTCAAAAACCAAGGCGGAAGTAATGCTGTGGTCATGAGTTTGTCGCGTGCCTCTGGCAGAACCCTGCGGCATGATGCCCCACGGATCGGGCAAACTAACACGTTGTGTAGTTGCAGGTATCTGGGTGGTTCGCTTGCTTGCGGGTGTTGGTGACTTGTGATTGAGTATGAAGACCAGGAATGGAATCGAAACGCCACATCAATTCTGACGGGTCTTCTACCAAAGTACGCTATATATACGACGCTAGAGTGAAGGTTAATTTCGAGACTTCTCAGTATATGTGGCTTCATTCGTATAGTTTCTGTAAATGCTCTACTCTTTTGACGTTGTACTTCGATCACATCAAGGCTGGTGCGTTTTTTACTCAGAACTGAGGCACCTCAGTGGTTGCAGAAACACATGCACATAGCGATCCCTCCTTTAGACGGAGCCCTTTCCCAAGTGCATTTGCTGCTCTTCGCCTGCTCTACAACCTTTGAATATGTGGGTTGTGAAACTTCCTCATAGGTACCCAATGGTCCTGACAGGATGTTGCATCCAGCCTTGTGTAAAACAAACCTAACGAATCAAACCCTAACATGCTGGCTGAAAGAACTCCATTTACTGCATGGTTCTGCACCGGGGAGCGCGGAAGACGACAATTAAAGTGGGGGACATCGTTGGTTCAGTTCTTTCAAGTTGCATCTAAAGCCAGGGTCCTAGATGGTTCCTTCCCAACACAGCTTGTTAGATACCTCAATTGATCACGCCCAGACAGTTACTCCGAGCGGGGCGACGATAGCCTGCCAAACATCAAGGATACCTGCCGCATATGCAACATTCATCACTTGTCCCCGGTCAGAAAGAGGGGATGAACGACTGGGCTTGAACACCTCCCCGGAGGTAAATACAACAGCTTCCCACGTCCCTCTCAATCCAATTTTCCACAAAATAATCACAGTCAAGTCTCGACGGCTGTTCCAGGTGTGCCCTTTGGCATCTCTCGTTGCTCACGAACTCGTCCAAAATGGCCCAATCATCCGCCAACATTCCCAACAATAACGGAGAAGTTGTCCTCGCCGCTGATGAGGTGTGCATGACGCCCCCGCTTGAGTTGCCGATGTGTGCTAATCAACGCATTATAGCCAACAGATGACTCTGCATCAGAGCTCGGAGTGAGTGGACCATTGACTCCCACCAACAACGCAGACAAGAGCGATATTTTGTAACGCCCAGCTTGACTAGAGCATTGCGTCATCGACCGCCAGTGTTAGCAGTTCTATCCTTGACTATCGCACCGAGAATGGCAGGACATATCACCGGTATAAGGATGGAAGTATGGATGCCTCCCCCGACACTTTCCAAGCCCATACAAATGTTGAACGTGCTCAGAATACAGTTATCCCAACGACGAGAGGGAAAATGATCGCCTCGAAATGCAGCACAACCTCTTCCTCGTCACGTACGACAACAAGCTGGGAACAGCGCCGCCCAATGACAAGAGTCTGGGCGTCAAGGTGAAGCGGGTTCTGGACGTCGGCACGGGGACTGGAGTGTGGGCGATCGAGTTTGGAGATGAGCATCCTGAAGCCGAGGTAAGACGGCATAGAGCCTGCTCTTTCGACGACGTTTGCGCAAGCTGACCGTACTGCAGGTACTCGGCATTGACTTGTCTGCCATTCAGCCAGACTTGTAGGAGCCCTACATTGTCTTTACTTTGGGTTTGCGAAAGTAGTGTGAGAAAGTCTAGCGGCTGACGATGTCCCAGCGCCCCGCCGAACGTCAAGTTCGAGATTGACGACATCGAAGAACCTTGGACATTCTCCCAGCCTTTCGATTACATCCACAGTCGAATGATGACCTCCAGCCTGTCGGACTGGCGAGTCTATCTACAGAGATGCTACGAGTTAGCCCCTCGTTCCTAACCCTCACCCCTAAAAGTCTCATGCTTAGTCTCATAGCGGTCTTGCCCCTGGCGGCTATTTCGAGATGAACGAGATGGACTACCCCACGTCCGACGACGGCACCCTCCGGAAAGAGCACGCTCTTCACAGATACCTCGATCTAGTCTTCGGCGCCCTCGAAAAATCCGGGCGCGCGTTCCAAAGCATCCCGGCGCTGAGGGACATGATGGTCGACATAGGCTTCCGCGACGTGACGATGACGAAGTACAAGTGGCCAACGAACCCGTGGGCGAAGGACGCGAAACATAAGAAGATTGGAGCCTGGAACAACGAAAATCTGAATGCGGGCGTCGAAGCGTGGGCCATGGCACCGTTTACCCGAATCCACGGCTGGACGCAGGAGAAGGTTCAAGTCTTCTTGGTCGATGTCCGGAAGGATTTGGGAAATCGGAGGATTCATGCTTATTGGCCCATGTAAGCGTGATTTTCTGAGGCTTATGAGTGCGTGCGGCTAACGATAGGAAGATACTCTCTTTGGGGACGGAAGCCTACGGTGGAAGAGGCTGGAGGGGCCGCTGGCAACTGAAATGGCTTGAGCAGCCATGGATAGCTGAGGGACCGCTTGCATTTTCTGCAGATCGCTCCTTCATGAGGCAAATGCCCTTTCGCAATTGTTTTCATGTTTTGATAGTAGCCAGGGAAAACGTTCTACTTACCTACCCGATTCAGAAACCGGTGGCCCTTGTTCTTGGCAGTGTCCGTTGGTTCAACTCGTATCTTTTGACGAACCGCGGGTTGTCCGATTCGCTCGGGATTGTCCATTGCATTGCATGTGTTCTGCATCGCGCGGCAGTGGGTAAATTCGGGGCTCAATCGTTGCTATTTGTTGGATCTGGGGCATGAACCAAGGGTTCGAGATGTGTTTCCCCATCACGGAAGGCTGGCTGTTCCAACACGGAATAAACCCCAGTAGCAAGTTGCGTTTGAAGAACCAACAGACTCGTCGACAATCATCGGCACCGGTTGCTTATGCATTACTCGTCACAAACATGCTGTGAGATGGTAGTCGGCTGGGCCTGGGCCCGAGGCCCAAACCCCAGCCCGAATCCCGCCTTTATATAAGGGATCAGCTACACCACTTTATAGCTAGGTACGCCTAGCACTTATAGCTAGATTAATTAAGCTACTTTATATAGGTTATAAGCCCTCTAAATACCTAAATCTATCTACTAAATAATAAAGTTATTCCTAAGTAGCTATTAGGACTTTAACTTTATAGTTTAATAATTATTATAAAGTAATTAATAGATTATTAAACTACTAAAAGTAATACTTCTAAGTAGAGGTTATAACTATTATAATATATATCCCCTACTTATAAAATCTCTTTAATCCTTAAGTTATTAAAATTAATAAATTATTTAATAATTATTATAGTTATATAGTAATAACTACTTAATAAATATCTAATAATTACTTATAATTACTCTTTAAACCTCTCTTAAATTATTAAATTAATTAAATAAATTAATATATTTTTAATTAGTAATCTAATTCTATCTTCTTCTAACTTTACTAAAAAGGGATTATTTTAAACTAACCCTCCCCCTTCTTCTACTATAAACCTTATAATTAGAGTAGCTATATAGAAAGTAACTAATAAAGGATTAGATCTAAGAAGTCTAATATATAATACTATCCCTAAGTTAACTAAAACTATAAATTTTAAGTTATAGGAGATTAATTTTAAGAATACTTTTAAAGTAATAAGATTACTTTTCTACTTAATAACTAAAGGGATATTAGTTAGATATAATAGAGATATAGTTTTTAAAGAAAATAAAGTAGTAGTAGTTAAAGATTTAAGTTTTTTAAATAATCTAATATTTATAGGTTTTATACTTACTAGATAGTTATTTATAGAGAAGATTTAATATAATCTCTTAGAAGAAATAATTAATAATAGTCT